AACCCACATATACTCATTTATTAATAAACCTAACCCTAAATCCTACCTCTAATGCTAAAAAGAACCCCAAAAAATGTCCCTCAAAAATTTTTAAATTTTTTTTAAAAAACAGAAAAATTTCGTTTTGATCAGATTTCGTTTTAATCTGTGACAAAAAATATTGATCATATACTGTATAGCATCAATATCAATACATTAAAATAAATTCAGGAAATAAACATGCAAAAGTAAACACGATTATATATGTGAAATCGGCAACTTTATTAATATAAAAAATAAATACATAATTAAAAGGTTATTCGAAGTCTGTAGTGGAGCTATCTTCTATAGACATTGAACTATTTAGAGGTACATTATAAAGTAAGGACATGTATGTTTTGCATTATTAGCAAGATCTCTATAAATTCTGAAACTAAGAAAGGCCTGATTGCTGAACTGCATGTCACTATTATCCCTAATAAGAACAACACTTAGGTATATTTTTTCACACCCCAATAATACTAGATTCATTCTTATCAACAACCCCTGCCACAACTTCACATTCTGTATATAGATCACTCTTTAATGGTTTACTGCGCATCAAATATGACGAGTATTTTATATTGTCAGGTATGTGGCAAAAATATAAGATCAATAGCATTTTATTCAGAGAATGATTTATCATGAAGTAATAAAATCGCATATCGATCATAAAGGTGCATATATTTTAGTATTTTATTTATATTATTTATATTTCTATTATGCTGATTTGATGATGATAGAGAGTAGATTAGAGCAGTGATGGCTTTTGGACAAGTTTTAGCAGTTTGAAAAGTTTTGGACAGGGTTTTGGCCATATGAAAAGCTGTCTAAAACATGTCCAAAACATGTCTAAAATTGTTCAAAATTGTCCAATTGCTAACACTGGATTAGAGGGTCCACCAAAATTCAGCAAATCGGCCTGAATTTGGGTCAGAATAGGCCGGAATTAACAAATTTTTTCTAAAATCACCCAAAACTTTACTAATAAAGTGGCAGCCTATGCACTAAGTAAAGCTGCCCAAATGATAATTTTGCTAAAATATAGTCAGCCAGTATTATTGCTTAATGCCACTTTGCTCCGGCCCATCCCTGACCTCAAATTCGGGCTGATTTGCTGAATTTTGGTGGACTCACTAATCTATTCGTAATAGAGTTCATATCGTATCGTGATAAAACGGATAGATTAGAAGAGCAACCAAAATTCAGCAGATCGACCAAAATTTAGAATCGGAATAGGCCCGGGGCTAAGCTAGCATTAAGCGATAATACATGCTATAGCAAAGTTATCATCTGAGGCAGCTTTACTTAGTATGTGAGCTACCATTTCATTATAGTGATTTTTGAGAGAAATTTATCAATTCTGGCCTATTCCGATCCTAAATTTTGATCGATCTGAATCTATTCTGATAAAACATGTAATTATTACATATAAAGTTACTTTGATCAAGTTAGATAACAGATATTGATCAACCATAATCATTCATCAACCATGCCAAAAGAAACTAAAGAAACCATTTATATCATTATAGCAACCTTTATTGTCTTGTATACCTTTCCTGTTAGTGTTTTTTAATGATTATGTACTGGCTTTTTCTAAGCTCTTTAGGTACGTATAACTCTCATTTTTTTCTCAATGTCTTACCTAATCTGATGTATTTAAAAAAATTTTTAGCAAAAAATGATGCCGGATTCATTAAAGCATTTTAGTGACAAGACCCAAGAAAGTATCGTCCAATGGTTTAACACTGTAAAAACGAATTGCAGTGTCTCTGAGATAGATGAGATAGATGATTATTATCTTAATCCAATATTATTAATCGTCGAGTGAAATGATAATGGACTCAGACTGCAAAATATTAATAAAAATAACATAACTAATAGTATGTCCAAAAATAACTAATAATGCTTTGTTACATTTTCTAACCTTTTTTTTTTTGGATTAGTTATTCAAAGGTTTCCTGGTATTCGACCGATTTCAAGCAATCTATCTAAATCAATTTTTTGTATTCTTGATGTTTCCACTGCAGAGAATCAACAGATTACTGAAGATCTCATTGCTCATCTTAGGCAAACTTATTACCAAGCTAATCAAACTTCATTGAGAAGAGTGTTTGATATAAAGGCTACAGTAAAAGGTAAATTTGAAATTAGGGAATACCATCACATATTTTAGTTTTTTAACCATAAATATGTAGTTAAAAATATGGGTTGTTACAGTAAGATTTTGGCTATTATAGACAAATTCTGTAGCCGGTCAAAAATAATGAAATTCTGATTTATATATTATGCATATATGTTAACCGAAATAAAACATGAACATTAATGTTCATAAATTTTTTATTATTGTTTTTTATTTAATATTAATTATTTGAAAATTATTACATTCACATCACCTATATATTTCATCCACTACATTTTACAATATAGATGTGAATAATAATTGCATTTGTCACAAACCTTACATCCGTGCTTCTTTTCGAAGTAATATGTTATTCTGATTTTTCATCTCTATATATTAACAGAAAACAAAAAAATATCTACACGGCTAAAATTTTTTTTAATTCAAGTCTGTAATATATAGCACTTGTGACTCGTTTACAAATAAATTATGCATAAGCCTTATAAGGTAAAAATACCAGTATATAAAATTTGGTCTTTATAAAATAGCATTTTGTTATAAAAATTTATTTAATTTATGATAATATTTCTGGTATATACAGTAAAAATAATAATAAAAGTTACTAATTCACTGGTCAGAATATCATGTGATCCTGTCACCATTTTTTCGCATTGCATACATATACTTTACATAATTGAGCAAAAAAAGCATTTAGATCATGTGGCTAAAATATGATTGGTAGATCTAACTCAAACTAGTACTACGTACAAATATCATTTAATAAAGATAACAAATCAATATCTGAAATTGATAAATGTGACAAATCTTCAACCTTTGATAAAGTTTTAGCAAGGTGTAGTGACTTAGTGAAGTGGTTAAGTTGTTGTACCTCCAAGCAGTATGTTTGCAGATTGGGGGTTTAAAACTTACTAATAACAGAAATTTAAAAATTCACTTGTATAACAGCTATTGTTTTTCAATAATCAGTTAGAATAGGATCTCTGTAACCTTAGTGATACCAAGATTGGGAGATTGTGGAATATTCATACAATATATAAGTTATATGAAGGTATGCAAGCCAGTATTAGTTAGTGCAAATCTAAGATAAAATCTTATAATTATATAAATTTAGAAAATCAAAAAGATAGATATCTGCTTAACAAGACCTAAGTAGAGAGGTAGTATAAACTTTTGATAGTGGCTACTGGAATAGGTTTCACTCAAGGCTAATATAACTAAACAAAGACCAGGTATTTAGAGAGAAAGTACTTCACCAATCAGGCTGTTGAAATACTAAAAGTAGTGCAGATACCAAGAGACTAATATCCTATTCGAGCTATTTGGATTGGTAGTTTGGAAGGCCAGTTAGAGAGTACTGAAAGAAAAGTACTAGGTTGTCTTGAAGGGAATGTACCAAGGCTTGGGTGAACTCTACAAGGGTTAAGTAAATAATAGTAACAGTTTTAACTTACAAATATTTATTCTGAATTTAGCGTAAGTTACCAAAGAAAACTAAATATTATAGTAATAGTAGGTATCAGACTGCTCTAACAGATAATATACTTAAGAATAAATCAGTTAACTATGCTAGTAGTTCTATAAATAGTTATAACAAATCTGAAATTTAAACTAACTAATGTATAGCATGTTCTGAGTAAAGTTAGATAGATTGGCATAAAAAACCCAGATCAGAGAATTTAAATAGGGCAGATCTTAAATATGGTATATGAAGGATAATTATAAATAAAAATAGATATAGTGGAGTCTTTAAATAGGCAATAATTAAAGTTATACATATGTCTATATATATTCTCATCAGAATGTACTTGTCTAAAACTTTTTTAAAAAAGCATTACATGATTCTACAATTTAATAAAAGCAATAAGCTAAAAAGGCTAACCTTGATTATAAAAAAAAAATCTTACAAGTTTTTTTTTTTAAAAAAAAAATTTTAATAAATTGGTAGTTAAAAAAAATCTTTAAAAATAATATGATTATAGCCACAGGGTAGCTTTTAAAAAAATTATTATACTGTATAAGAATAATCTTTATATAATTAGAAAAAAGCATCTTCTACTTATAAAAAAAAAAAGTATTTGAAAAACCTTAGGAAAATATCTTAATTTAATATACTTATAATAAGCTTTATAATGATAGAGAATAATTTATTCTCAACTTTATTAAATTGTTAGCAAAGCTAATATATCTTTAGAAAAAATATACCATTTTCAACCATTTTTACAAAATTATTGCAAATATAGTATGTGTATTAACAGGTACTATTGAATAAAAGTATAAAAATCTTTAAATTTTTATACTTTTATTTAATAATTTATTTAGATTATTGATTTTTTTATATAATTACTTAATCTATATTTTTAATAGGTAGTGTAGTTTCTTGTGCTAACCAAATATATAAAGTATTTTTAATCTTGTTACAACAAAAAAAAAAAAAACTTTAAAGTTCATTAATTGGAAAAAATTTAAATTATAATTAATAAAATAGTAGACTTTTGTAATAAAGTAGCAATAAATATTTTGTTTAGTTATTTTGATTAAACTAGTTTGAATAAACTTTATTATTTACAAGTTGTAAATAAAATTACTATTTTTTAATTTGTAATTTCAACATTATTCTATTATAAATTTTTTTTGATAATGTTATTTTATTTAATATATAATACTTTATATATATTAGCTGTGTTTAATATTCTTTTACTTTTAATACCTTAAATTAAATACAACACTTGCTTTGTATCTATGCTTAATTTAGTAGAGGAAACCTAGATTAGATGCAAAAACTTTAAGCTTCTTGACTTTACTATTAGTTTGATTAAAACAACCTTTATATATTTTTTGGCTAGAAAGTAACAATAGATTTCTTTTCTTTCTTTAAATAGTTATTCTGATTCTATACTTCTGCCACTATATGTAAAAACTAGATAAAGCTTCTAATTTAATTTTGCTTTTTGGATTTGTAATTATTTTACACTATTAGTTGATTTTTATTTTATGACAATACTGTATAACAATTTTAGAGTTAGTTGTAATTTTGAAAATAGGAACAATTTGTTTTATTTACAGTTTACTCTTTATTTTATTATCTTTAATATGCAAATATAAGCAATAATATAAAAACTTCATTAAAAAACCCTTTGTGATTACATTCTTTAGAGTATAATCATGAAGTGATTTTTTTTTAATTTTATATTTTTCTAAAAATAAGCACACCCAAAAATAAGCACTCTCTACAATTCATATATACTCAAAAATAAGCACCTCTTATATAATAGAAATAAGCAATAAAAATCAAGTCATTCAAATTATTAGATAAGATTATACCTAAAAATAAGCAACTTTATAATAAAAATAAGGTGTTTATTTTTAAAGTTATATAGTATATCAATATTAATTAATTATTATTATTGACTAAATAATATTATTGTTATTATAAATTGATCAAAAATCTTGAGTTTATCAAAATCTAGAATAAATCTGTCACTTTATTTTTTGCTAACTGATTAGAGCAAGTATGTGTCTATTTAAGTTTAGGCTACTATGCACCCTCAAATTAAATAAAATAGTTGATCTTTGTTAAACAAATCAATATAATTTGTCATTATATAATATAATTTTTAAAGAAGCATTTTAACTAATATATAAAAATTTAAAATACATATAGATAATTATTCTGTGCTTCTAGTTTAAAGCAATTTATTGTTTTAACCCAAACTATATACAAGCACAAATTGATTGCCATGATATTACATTATATAAAGCAATTAAAAAATTAGAAAATCTATTAAATAAATTTATTAATAAATATTTAATTTATTCAGAATTATTAAAAAAATTCAGTGAAAATTTTGATTTGAATAAATATTAGCAAAAAAAATAAATTTGTTACCAAATATTAGTAATATTGCATTAGTATATATTTTTTTATTTTTTTACAACTAGCCTCTTTAGGGCTAGAGTTTTTATTCAAATATTAAGTTAGGAGTTCATAGTTGAAGCCTCTAAAGAATCTTTTTTACATTAGAGAGTATATTCTAGTCATATCTATGCCTTTTAAGCATCTAATTAAGTAGTTTCTTATTACTAAGTTCTATGCTAGATGCCATATTTGTAACTCATTATTATTTGAATTACTCAATTAAACTTTCTGTAATGCAACTTGTACCTATATCACTGTTACATCTCTGCTACATTTGTCAGTTAATAAGTCCCAGATTCTTAACCTATTCTTTTAGGACTACTTTATCCTTGAGGCATCATTACTAGAGCTTTCTATATCTATAATTCAGCTAACCTAAATTTAGTAACTTACGCTAAGTCTAAGGACAAGTACTTGCAAGCTGAAGCTGCTACTGTTATCTACTTCTGTCCTTATAAAGTTCACTCAAACCTTAGCACTTACTATATAGATTACCAACCATTCTTCTTACTTTTCCAAACTTCTAATCCAGATAGTCTGGAAGGGTGAACCCTTTCTATTGGCTGACCTGGCAGCCTGGTTGGTATGATGTTTGCCAAACCCTCAGTTCTGTTCAGTTATTCTAGTTTTCCAGTAATAATCCTTTACATAGTACTATTAAAAATCTGTGCTATCTCTTTACTTGGGTTTTGCTAAGCAGACTTCTATGTACTTCAAATCCCTGGATTTATTTGGCTGCTTCACTCAGAATTTGTATAACTTATTTGGCACACTAATATTCTATAGCCTCCCAGTATGAGCTAGTATAATCAAAACTACAAATCTATCGATCCATTCAGTTGTGCACAGTATACCGTAATGTATTCTGTAAAATTTAAATTTTGTCGCCAGTGGGATTTGAATTCTTGTTCTGCTGCTTGGGAGTATGACAACTTACCAACTTTACTAAATTATCACACCTTTTATATATACTAGAAACTGGAAACCAGTGTGAGTCTGGAGCATAAGTATCATATATTTCTAAAAATAAATTATTTTTTATAAATAATTCAAATAAAAAATAATGTTTTTAATTAACTTATAATATATTCTATATATTAAAGTAAAAATTTTACTAAGTAAATCGATTATGCCTATTAAGTAAAAATTGTTCAGGAGATCAAATTACATATATCTTAAAATTTTTATATAATTACAATAATTTTTATTAGTTGATATTTAATTTTTATTGTTATTAAATAAAAAAAATTTAATTGATTTTTTTACAAAAATATATTAATAAAAAATTAGCCAAATTATATAATAATTTCAAGATATATGCATTTTGATCTTTTGAACAATTTTTACTTAATAAACAGAGTTGATTTACTTAGTAAAATTTTAACTTTACTATATAAAAACAAAAGTGGCAAACGGAAAATACCAAAACTACTTTTTTGATATTTTTAATATAAATGCATCAAAAAAGAAATT